GAGGTCTACGCATTGCCCAACTCAATTGAATGTTGTTGTAAAGAAAAGACAATTTATCATTTGCTAAAATGGACAACTTTGGCCAAGCAATAGACACGTGCTATAAATTAATTAATTCATTCAGAAGGTGTTATATATAGCCCATCCATGATTTATTGTACCTGCAAAATAGCATGCAGAGGTGCTACAAGCAAGCCTAATTGCACTGCTTTATGTTGATGTGAAAAAATGTTCTTCGGATTGATTATGAACATACTAAGAGCTACATTTTCCAATGTTTCTAGTCAGATATTTTAGATATACGATAATACAAATGAAACTTTGAAATAAGTGATAAAAGCCAGCTTGATTCAATGTCTTAATTGATACGAGGTTCGCCGGTTTTGCATAAGAAAATTTGAAACCAATTCCGAAAACCTCATTCCTTAGCCTTCAGAATTAATTCTTCGTAAGTGATTCGGGTGGTAATCGAGGCCTACAAATACCAGAATAGTTATCTAGAGGTCGTGGTTCAATTCACAAGTGAATCCCTTGCCATTTTATTTGTGACATCAGAACTACCAGCAATTTTTTTTTGGGGGGGGGGGGGTATGCTTACAGGCTATTTTAGTGCGAGTATGTTATGATATTCGTGGTTAGCATAATTCTGAAATTTGTTTATCTAATCTTAAGGACATGTATCTATGTAGAAAAATATATTGTTCTTAATTAAATTTTATGGATTATTATCAAATAACATTTACAATGTACTTCTATCTTTACAAATATACAATGGATCTCAAAATCACTTATCTCTTGGTTCATACACTATTTTGTCTATTTAATAATTTTTTTTCACTTGAATGAATTGAGAATTGGTAGTGCCTATATTATGGAATATCAACCAGCAATTGATTGGTTGATTGGTTATGAGAGATTGTGAGTTTTAACCAGATGATTAACGCTTAAATTTCATAAATAAGATTACCAGAACATCAAGCCGGCCGAATCGTTCGACGGTCTCGTGTACAATCCTCTCTAGGTCAGCATCACTACTCATCTCACCAGTTTGCAACAGAATCTGTAAAATAATTATCATCATATAAATAAGAATGATGATGATAATAATAATAATAATAATAATAATAACAATAATAATGATAATAATAATAATAATAACAATAATTTTAATAATAATAATAAAAATAATAATATCAATAATGTTAATAATAATAATAATAATAAAAATAACAATAATAATAATAATAATAATAATAATAATAATAATAATAATAATAATAATAATAATAATAATAATAATAGTAGTAGTAGTAGTAGTAGTGGTGGTGGTAGTAGTAGAGGTAGTAGTAGCCTGTAGTAATAAAATAATAATAATAATAATAATAATAATAATAATAATAATAATAATAATAATAATAATAATAATAATAATGATAATAATAATATCAATAATAATATGATTATATTGTTCATATTATAGTTGTTGCTATTCAAATATTAAATGTGAAAAGTGTTGTTGCCTAGAATTTTACCTGATCTGCCTGCAGTCCCCATTGCTGGCAGTCTTTCCCAACGCCATTCAGCCTCTCTTCATTCCTACCAGTTAGCGACACGTAACAGCCTAACGATGCAAAATGTCGAGCTACAGCTGCTCCTATCCCAGAACTTGCCCCTTGTGGATAAATGATAAATCATTCAAGAAATATCACAATTGTCATGTACAGTATTTCAATCGCAATCGTCTATTTAGGACCTAGCTAGCCGATCCAACCCAGGAAAGTAGCTTTTTTTCGTAGAACATGCCCGATTGGTATATTGTACCGTTTGGCTACACAACTTAAGTTACATATATAATTTTCTTCCACTTACGTATAAATGAAGAATATTGCAACGATTGCAAACAATTAACAAATTCTTACCAGTTATTAAAGCAACTTTCCCTTTCAACGATGCCATTTTCTTTGAATAATTATTGAAGCTAAAGGTAAAAATGAAACCAATTTTCAGTTGAAGCAACGACTAATGCATATAACCTAATCATCCTTCAACCCGCAATACTTTTATGGAATAATAAACAATCTGTTGTCACCGTACAACCCTCTACCAGTAAAATGTTTCTCCTAAAAAAAAATCAAGTAATATATATCTCGCAATTGTTTTCTATATTTGATTCTTCATTGTGTTATTTATTCATTTTAACACTGTATACATTGTTTCTCAATGTGTTTCATTACACGCATGGTAAAATATACTCTCGATTAATTCGAGAATGGCGCTCATGTTCACTATTTTTATGAATTATGAAAATAAAGGTATGGTAGCCCCATTATGAATTATGAAAATAAAGGTATGGTAGCCCATTAAGTATAGCTTATTAATTGGTCTTCTTAAAATAAGCGGCCATAAATTTGAAATGTTGAATTCGAGTCAACTCGGCCCCAAGTCAACTCGGCCCCAGTCAACTTGGCCCAAAATCAACTCGGGGCCCCAAGTCAACTCGGCCCCATGTCAACTCGGTCCCAAGTCAACTCGGCCCTAAGTCAACTCGGCCCCAAGTAGTCAACTCGGCCCCAATTGACTGTGTATTTACTGAATATTTGCCAAAAGAAATTTGAATGCAAAGTCAAATTTTAAGTGTTTTATATCGTTGCCTTTATTTCTTTTCATTTACCCACTTATAACAGCATTACATTTACCACTTACATCATTAATAAAAATAATATTAGTAACAATATAAAAAGGTATTATATATATATATGTATATATATATATATATATATATATATTTATATACATCATGATATAATAGATAAAATCGAAACCGTCTTCATGTAT